AGGATGTGATCGGCGTCTTGGTAACCTTGCCCACATTCACAGAGATTGCTGTCTCCCAGCCCAACACGAAACAAGTGAGCGTTTAACGAATAGTGATTGGACATGAGGCGAGACATCAGACGAATGAAGTCTCGACCCACATCCAACCCCTTGAACCAAGGACTCTTCGACACCTTAGGGATGATCGAATATAGCCATCGTCCCAAACTCCCTTCACTCCACTTATTCTGCCAGCTGACGAGTGACTGTTGACGATAAATGAAGAAAAATTCATCGTAGGCGATTTGTCGATCGTAAATATCGCCTTCCATAGCGCCCACCTTAGCAAGTGAGTCAGCCATCTCATTGCCCGGAATCGAGCAATGAGATGGGACCCATGCAAAGGTGATGACAAAAGATCTTAAAGATAAAGCACTTAAAAGCTCTCGTATTTTCATGAGAAAATACGAGGAGTGCTTTACCGGCCTCATAGAGCGAATAGCCTCGACAGAACTGAGACTATCCGTAAAAATAAAATAATGATCTGGTGCAAGTGAGGCGATCGTTTCTAGCGTATAATATATTGCCGCCAGTTCAGCAACATATACGGAACAAGGAGCTTGAAGCATTCGAGAGGCGCTATGAAATTCGTTAAAAATACCAAAACCAGCGGACGACTCTATTAGTGATCCATCTGTGAAGAACGATCTTGCGGAATCAACTTGGCCAAACTTTGCAGCGTAAATTGACGGAACAATCATGGAACGCTGATGTTCTGGGATTCCACGAATCTCCCGCGTCATAGATAAATCAAAACTAACTGAATTGCCGAAGTCGGAGAAGCATACACGATGAGGATTATGCTGTGAAGGACTGACATCCTGAGTTATGTACACGTAGTACAATGACATAAAACGAGTTTGAGGGTTTAGCTCAAGAAGCTTCTCAAAGTTTTCGATTACCAGTGGGTTCATAACTTCACAACGGGTGAGGAGCCTGAGGGACAATTCCGAAAACCGATCCGATAGTGGCAACATGCCCGCCAACACTTCGAGACTCATCGTATGAGTCGAGTGCATGCATCCTAACGCGATACGAAGACAACGATACTGGATACGTTCCAGTTTGATGATGTGAGTTTTAGCCGCCGACTGGAAGCAAAAACTACCGTACTCCAAAACCGATAAAATCGTTGTCCGGTACAACGTTAGAAGATCTTGCGGATGAGCTCCCCACCACGTTCCGGTAATTGTTCGGAGAAAATTGATCCTTTGTTGGCATTTTCGTCTCAGATACTCAATGTGGGATCTCCAGGTGCATTTGGAATCGAACCAGACCCCAAGATATTTGAAAGACATGGACTGAGTGATCGGCTTACCCAAAAGTTGAAGCTTCGGTTGTGCTGGGCTATGCTTCCTAGAAAAAACGACCAACTCAGTTTTCTCCGAGGAGAATTCGATACCTAGCTCGATAGCCCAAGTAGACAAATTATCTAAGGTATCCTGTAAGGGTCCTTGCAGGTCGACCTCTTTGAGCCCTGTCATAGACACTACTCCGTCATCTGCAAGTTGTCTCAACGTGCAGTTGTCCCTTAGACAATTGTCAATTTCTCTGACGTAGAAATTATACAAAAGGGGGCTTAAACATGAGCCCTGGGGGAGACCCATGTAACTAAATCGAGAAGCTGTAGAGTTTCCATGAGAAAAGCTCATATGTTTCTCTGACAGCAAATTGTACAAAAAGTTATTAATTAATGGGGAAAGGCCACAAGCGTGGAGTTTGTCTGAAAGGACTTCAACCGATACTGAATCAAAAGCCCCCTTAATATCCAAGAACACAGAAGCCATTTGCTCTTTTTTAGCAAAAGCCAACTGGATTTCTGTGGAAAGCAACACGAGACAGTCGTTCGTTCCCTTACCCCTACGGAAACCAAATTGAGTATCTGAGAGTAGGTGTGTTATTGCGAGATGACATAGTTATTTTTCGTAGAAAGGATGTTGGTTGATAGTCGTCTTTAGGTGTTGATGACACGGGTGAGAGTTTGGACCTGGTTTTCGATTGAAGTGTGAACTGATATATGCAAGATTAGGAAATATCCTTTATGAGCGTGGGATCCGTTTTACGGGTAAGGTTTTCGATATGGAGAAAAGGTCTATGAAAAGGGATTGGTAATGATTTCTTTGGAACTGTTTGGTTTGCTAAGTCAAGTGGTTACACTTGAGACTTGAGCGTGAGAAATAATGTGGATTGATTAGCTTAGGGTTTCTATGTTATGGGATTCTAGGGTTTTAGCTAACATCGGTATTGATGAATCTACGCGAAACTGCACCAGTGCATGCGACACCTAGGTTTGAAATCCAAAACCACAAAAGTGATGATGTTTGTTTTTCTTTGCATGTAAAAGTGTACAGCGGTTGTTAAAATTTTACGTTATTCTGTTTGAATTGATTATAGATACACAATGGCGCTAAATACTGGTAAGAAAATATAATTTTTATATAACTACAATGCATTTAACCTATCATTAAAATTAAATCATAGAAAAGCTTCGAACATTCAAATAGGATTATGTAAACAGGTTATGATCGCTAACTTCCGGCCTTTTTTTCAGATGTTCGAATGATCAGTGGTGCAGCGGATAATCGCGATGTAATCGACATAAATATAAAGTTGGTCGATATAATTGATTACGTCGGGGATTCTGTTCGACCGATCCGGGAGGGATCTGCGGTGTTCGAAGCCCAACATATTGTATGCATCGGGTACAGAAACAGATGTTTGGGGTATGTTGATTTTGTGGGCTATGTTCGTCAGTCATCCCACCCGAATCATGTTCCTCATACGGTTGAGCTGAAAATCGCCGAAGGGATCGAAAATTGGGTTTTAAAATGCTCCTGTAAAGCTGGCACAAACCGTTGTTAGCATATTGTTGCATGTCATCTACAGTTAAATCGGTACGTATTATTTGGAATTGGATGAATATGATAATTTCCATTATGATCCCATTTTAGGTCGGGTACAGCAGAATACGTGACCTGTACAGATGCAGTTCAGATTTGGGGCACATCGAAGGCCGAAAAAAACGTTTTATGGGGAGCAAAACCAATACCGGACTTATGTTGTGTTCGTAGATCGAAGGAAATCCAACCCACAGACACCGAGCTCAAGAAAAGTATTCTTACTGAATGCTTCAGCAGAATTTTGAATGGTTTGTTTTTGTTTTTTTTTTTTTTTTGTATGTGTAGTTATCTATTGATCCGAATTTCCAATTGATTTAAACAGGGACTTACATTCCTCAGAGGCAGGGTGCCTTCCATTCATTTTGACTAAAAAAATGTTTTATGAAATTATGAAATAATAAGATATTATGATGATATTTTGAATGTGCTAGTAATAAGAAAAGATTGTAAAGATTGTGTTTCACACATCAAACCTGCAAATTTAGCTTTGACAGAGTCACAATGAGTGGTTTTCTGATCGCCTCTTCGCGAAGAGTGAAGAGCGAAGAGTGGATGAGATAAATTACCAAATCGCTTATTGTGACTCTCATGTAGCAAAATTGGCAGGTAACAAACTTAACAATCTTTTCTTGTTGTTTACATAATCAAAATATTTTGTTAATATCTTATTATTCCATAATTTCTTAAAACATTTTTTTATTCAAAATGAATGGAAGGCACCCTGCTCAGAGGAAAAAAAGTTATAGCTACTTCAATATTTAACTGATTTTAGAATCTCTTCTGTGTGCCCTTAGAAAACACTTCCTACCTACCCTCCCCCACTATTTTATTTGTACGCATTCAATACGCATTCAATACGCATTCGTCAATCCCTTCGTTAAATGTCTAAATACTTTACGGACAGCATTTGAAATGTTTATTAAATATTTATGTTGCCTTCAAGATAAACTAAAATCTGAACTATTGATATAAAAAATCAATTTGTTCTTTACAGCTTCCAAGGGATCTGCTATTCAAAAGCATCTGGATGGTAGATATCTGAATTCGTCGTTTGCTTACCATAGTCGGTCATTACAAGTTTTGTTCGTCAAACGAACTGCAAAGCATGCTTTCACCCAACAGATTTGAGGTCACGGTTGAGTATGTGCCTTTTGAAACACCTCAACAAGAACTGTTCTACAACCATAATATAGAAAAGGACCTGTTAAATATTCTGCGTGTCGCAGAAGAAACTCGAGGTCAATCTTCCAACTACTGGAAAATTCAGCGGGCATTGAGAATTACAGCGAGCTCGAGTTATAAGTTATACACATATCTTGCAAACCAAAACCGGGATTGGGATCAGAAAATTTCGAGATATTAGAGCACGGCCACTTTGAAGGTACGAGCAGTGGCATACGGCACTGAAACTGAGAAAGTAGCTTTCAATTGCTACAGAACAAAAAGAAATCCACTAGTAAAAAAGTGTGGAATGGTCGTTAAAGTAGGGGAATGCTGGTTTGCGGCATCACCAGATGGCATAGATCAATTAAATCGACTAGTCGTGGAAATTAAATGCCCTTTAGCTGGTGAGACTGAAGGAGTAGAAGAATTAGAGAACAACAGTGCTGTCCGGAAGTACGTGCATCGTTCTGCAACTGGACAACTCATGTTGAACAAACGTCATGCGTACTACTGCCAAGTTCAAATGAACATGTGGGTTTTACAATGTCAATTGTGTGACTTTGTTGTGTACTCAAAAAAGAATGATGATTTTATCGTCCTTGAAATTCCCTTCGATAAATTGTTTGTTGAAACGTTGCAAATGGTCTTAAAGGTTTGAATTATACTCGCATGCTTGCAAAATTGATGCCACAGGCTAGCATATGAAATATTTGATAGAAGTAATGAGAAGACCTAAAATAAAACAGAACAATTCGTAAAAAAACATTTTTTTTATTAATGACTTCGATGTAAATCTAACCACTTTCAATAACAGTAGAGCATGAGTTACAACACATTTATTGGACTACTAAACGCACAGCCTTCTTTTAACAATAGAATATCGAAATCCACATTTCCTTAAAACTTGTCGTCTTTAAGTATAGGTTTGCTTAAATTAACTAACCCGCATATGACTGCCATAATATCGTCTATATGTGCCAAGATACTAGTATCCAAGGTATCGTGTAAAATTGAAAATATTTCAATTCGATGCATGATGCGTTCGACATGAATTCGAGCTTTCGCGATTGCTTCGTTCAACTGAGCTTCAGTTGGTGACAAACGGTTCTTTCTTAAGAATGGTGGGATGTGTAATTTGATTCCTCGCGCTGACAACTCTGTTTCGATAGCAAATCCTTTATCGGTCATAACTTCGTCGACATGTGGCTTCAGGTTTTCAATTAACTTTTCATTGTTAAAAATGAATTTGTCGGATGCCTTTCCTGAATATGCCTTACTGTAATATGAAATAAGACCCGCTGGAGTAACTCCCACTAAAAACTTTACTGTTCTCACAGATTTATAATGCGAGTAGGTAGATATTCTACAATTAAGGCATTTTAAAGTTGCTATTGGAACATCCGTGCAGTCAAGGATAATGGTTACATTTTCAAAATTATCCCTGAAGCACAACGGTATATTTTTCCTGATTTCACTTTTCTCCGGCATATACACAAATGTAGCGAGAATCTGCCCCAACATATGCACAGTATGGCTAAAATATTTTGCTACGGTTGATGGATGTATACGAAAAAGGGTACCTAAGGTCGCAAACGATAAGTTCTGTTTGATCTTGGTCATAGTTAAAATAACACTATCAGTGCAGTGCATCACATTTTTTTTAGGATATACCGTCTCTAACTTATTGACAGAATAGCACAACTCTTGTAAAACAGCAAAAGTTGGTATTCTAGTCCATGTATTGACATCCTGATCTGTAATCAGTAAATCGGAAAGAATTATGTCGCTGGTTTTAAGCTCTTGGATCACACTGTTAACAGCAATTGACTCCTTTTCCAATCGATAATCCGTGCTGTTGACAGTTTCACCTGCTGTTCCATCATCATATTGTTCACTTTCATCCATTACGTGAACTGAAATAGGATCGGTTTCCGGTTGATAAGGTTGCGACGGATCATTAAAGGATCGATGTTCATCTGGGTGTTCATCAGTATCATCACATGACATATTATCAGTACCACAAAAGTTGTGCTTTTTTTTTTTTTGGTACCTGTACGATAGTTAGATCGCGTGAAATGATTACTGCAAACCTTGGCGTTTTTCGATGGAGTTTTTCCAAACTTCAATGTGGAAATCCAGGCAGTATACCGCATATCAGATTTGGACGGAAAACTGTGCAAAACAACACCGTTACCAGCACGAGAGTTGCATCCATAAACTGCACACATTCGGTTGCTATTTGGCTTAAATCGATTTTGGAAGTAAGCATGATCCATCAAATGTGGCGGCAAAGGATCGGTTCTTAGGGTTACGCGCTGGGGACGTTTAACGAGCTTCTTGACCCTGCGGCTAGGCACAGCATTTGGCTTAAGATACGATGATTTCACTAGAAGGAATCAAATTAATTAGTCTCAAGAATCGTTGCGTTGAGACAGTACTTACCTGTTACAAAATCAGTATCCTTAAAATGACGCTGGCAGATTCTCAGGCCAGTAACGGTTTCACAAGGATTCATTTTCAACGATTTCTTCCAAGACGTCAATTGCTTGTGTCGACGTTTTAGAGGAAACGGAATGAGGTAGGCAGTAGATTTTGTTCGGCACCCGGCAACGCAACATCCTCGGCTACTTTTGATGGCAGGATTTTGTTCCAGAATGCATTGTGTTGGAAATGCGTTTTCTGTGAGGACTCGACGCACTTCTGTAAACAAAACGTGGGGTAGAAGCAAAGAATTTAGCAATGGGCACCATAAAGTATTGTGGAAATTCGTTTCACTTACTTTGAATAAAATCCCTTGGTTGAAAGTGAGCCTGGCAAATTTTCTCATCTCCGCGGGCAGCCAGCTTCATAAATTGGCACCATTTTTCGAAGAACTTGTTTCCAGCCGTAGGAACTCTGAAGAATTTTACCGTGCCGGAATCGTTAGTGTTTGCACATTTGGGAATGATGTAATTTTCTTCCGTTTCACCTCCCATCGAAAGCCTAATAAAGATGAACAAATTAGTTCACTTTGATGAACTTATGTTACATAAAATACTTACTATAACTTAGATAGTTAAAAATCTAACTCATTCAGTGTAATAGGATTGTCTAAAACCGTAAAATTTCAACATAAATACGTATTTTCCTAATCAAATCCAACAGAACACTTGGGTTTTGACAGCTCGAAAACAATACATCATCATTTTGCTTGCTGCGCCATCTCTTAGTCAATCTAGCGGCAATTCATTAATAGTACTGGAGCAAAAAAGTAAGAAAAAATGTGAAAAAGATGGAGCAGCCGAAGCCCGATTTAGCGGCAAGAAGGTGAAGCAGTTAACGGAGCAAGGAAGGAAGGAAGAATATAACATGTAGCAGGATGAAGGTGAACTAAGCTGGAGAAAATTATGTGAAGAACACAAAGCGGATAGCGGATGGAAGATTAAGGATAAAAAACGTGAATTATCCATTGAAGTAGTAGAAGAAGAAGCAGAAGATGAAGAGAATTGTTTTTGGATGAAGCGAAGTATCAGATGAAGGCGGAATGAAAAACGACGCTGAAGAAGAGGAAGAAGATCAAGAAGATAAAGCTAAAAATAGCAAAATGAAGAAGAATGGGGAATAACATTTATTGAAATGTGCGACAATTACTAAAGAAAGTGTAAAGCGAAGCGGAAACGGAATTGGATGTAGCAGGACATAACGAAAACATTTGGGTAACAAGAAACGGACGAAGGCTACGGAAAAAAACGAAAATGATGAAGAAAGAACATGCAGAAAAGATAGAAGAAGTAAAAGTGAAATTAATTGAGCAGAAGAAGTGAAAGAGATGAAATGTAATGATCAACGATGAACCAGAAGTAGAGGAAACGAGGAAAGGAGACAAAGCTAAGTGTAATTAACCATAAACACCATCACTCACACCCACACATCATTACACTAAACTGAAACAGACATGCATCTGTGCATGTAAAATGTCTTAAATAAATACAAAAAAACGTATCAAACGGCGTGATGTTCGGGCATCGTATTCGGTCCAGTCTGCCTTGCATACCTTCCTGATACCAAGAAGACGCCACACTGAGTCATAGTTGTTGTTATTTGATTCCACCTCCAAGCTGGGGCACGAGTCAGATGGCGAAGGCAAAGGTGCAGCGCTCCGTGTTGAGGCTATATTTGCTGACAGTGACTTCAGCTCGTCAGAATATCGAGTTCCAGCGCAGAGTTAGAGCTCATAGTACAACTTGCTGCAATGTCGACCGACAACTGGTTCAGTTGATTTATTTCATTACTGATATTTCGGAGCTCGGTGGATATACCTGACATCACAGTTCTCAAAGACGTGGACACACTGTCTTTCTGCAACTCTAGCAAATGTCAAGGTTCGGAGGCTTTGAATAAAGCAAATATATAATTATTAGATTTTGAAATTTTGGGGTGAATTTTCGTGCCCTGCCCCTCTGGCTACGTCTATGTCTGCTTCTACCTTTCTACCCTATCTTAATCTGATATTGGCATTGATTAATGGTGGTAAGCTCCAACCGGTACCAGATTAATAAACACAACTCTAAGTAAGCATTTGGCAGATCATCCAAACAGGGTCGGTATCAAAAGTTAATCCGAGTTGAAGCTTACCGCCATAAGTATCTTCTCAACTTTGTAATCGTTTACTTTACGCATTTCAAGTGTCCATGGTTTTAAATTTTCCAAAAGGTGGAATTTTTCATGAGCTTTGTTTGAAAAATAGTGTAGGTATATCAAATTAAGACACACTTTACATAAACTTAAGATACACAATTACCGTGAATATTTTTCCCAGATAGACTTTACTTTCCTCTTTAACTTTGTCTCATACGTCATTTAGATCAGAAGTGACGTTTTCGTGCTACAATTTATTGAAAAATGCCAAAGACGCCATTTAAAAAAAAAAAATCCAAGGTCCAAAATGGCTGAGTTTTTGCAAAAATTGGAATGATTGCCCATAACAGACAATTATGCATTGTTTCATACAAATTGGAGAGGGTCATGTCAATTGTTTTTTAATTGCTATTTGGCCTGGAACAGCTCGGTTGCAAAAAATCGTCACAGCCCATATGCAGCATATGGTGAGTGAAATTTTCTCTTAGAAATGGTGATGAATCGGGCAATGGTTCTTCATTATTGAATCAAATGTTCTTATCAGTTTTTCAAAGCATTTCCTACTAATGATTGCACATATCTTTCGCTAAAACAAATTCAAAGAACTAAAGCAACGCATCCAAAGCACCACGCGTGGGCGTGAAGAACCGTATCAAACCGCCAAATGAAATGAACTCGTCATCGGTCCGTCACCACAAGTGAATCAGCTCAGCTCGCATTCAGCCAGAGCTCAACTTACTGCCACTCGGAGAAACTCGCTCCCAATACAACCGACACAAACTGATGATTCATCCATCAGTTTGTCGTTGAACTAGTTATCCCATTACCACACTACTGCACCGGGCGGCTGCTTTGAGGGTTGTGTTGACTGAAGCGTATCTTCACCGCTCAAACAAAGGTGAGAAAGGCAACATGAACACGAAACTTGTAAATTGAACAACCGCTGGATCTTCTACCGCACACCTATATGTAGCTACCAACAGTTGGTGCCTGTAAATGTTCATTTCAAGTTCAGAGTTTGAAGCGATCACAACGTATAATTCCATAGCAAACAAAATGATGCTCAAAAGTTTACTGCTGGTGACAGTTTTCGGCGTTGTTTTGGGTAAGATTATTCCACCCGGTTTCTATTTGATTCGTTGATGTGATCTCATTTTTCCCCTCTCAAAAAAGCCGAAAACGTTCAACTGAACCAAGGGAATGTAGCCATTGAGGTAGTGCGTCGCGTAGCCAGAAGTCCGCAGCAGACAAATTTTCCTGGTTTTTCCAACATTGCTCCGTGAGTACGGTATAATTAAATTTAATCGGAACTTATCAGTATGTGTCATATTTCTATTTCAACAGGCCCGGCTTCGACGTTTCGCAAATAGTGTCGCAGAACACCGACGTCAGTAAGAATGGTTATGCCCAATCCACAATCTACAAATCCGAAAATGGAATGGGATCGTCATCGACGTCGTTTTCCTCGTCCCAGCCCAGATCGGTGAGTGGTAGTTGGATTTGTTTAATCAGGTGTTTTCAATTGTTGCTTTTTTTTTTAATGATTTTAGGGAGCTGCATCAATGACGCTATTTTCCAGCTTCGCGATGGTTTCCATTACTGTTTTGGCAACAAGTTTCATTCGTCACTAAACCAAATTGCTTAAGTTAAAAAAAAGTATTGGGACTAGTATTTATTTCGAAGATACACTGAAATTGTGATAATGAAGAAGTGCTAATAAACATAAACAAACATGACGCGGCCGAGCTCGATTGAGGTGTGTTAGTTTGTATGCGTGCTTGCTTGTAACTGATACATGCGTAGAGTGATCTTACAAGGTCACAACAGTAGGTGGCGATGTGAGTTTACGAGTAATGTGAATTCATCAACTTGGATGAATTTTTCTGGTCATGCTTGACCAGTGACTGTTGAGCAAATGAATCCACCGATTATCAGTGGCCGTATGTATTCGTTCATTTGATTGATTGTTGGTAGGGTTATCATATCAAAAAATGGAAGGACAATGTCCATATGTTTCTTAATTAAAGTGAACAATGAATCAGTAGGGTAATTAAGGTTTGCTAGCTTTTGGAAAACCATAAAAATGATGCCACTTTCCAAACTTATTAACTCTAACTCTTGAAATTCATGCCAGGATGTTTTTGATATTTTGTTAAAATTTTCTTGGAATACTTATCCGGTACCAACATTATTTTCGGAATTTTCCATGAATTCTCCAAGTTTTTGTTGAAATTTTAAACATTAAATTCTACTAAATACTATTCTTACTAGTGCCCCTTGCATTCACTTTCAGATTCCATTGTTATGAATTTAAGTATCAGAAAATGGATACTTTCATTATAATCCCTTAGAAATTATCTACAGATGCAGATTCTCCTGGAATTCTCAGCACAATTCTCTTCATTGAGGATGTCAGAATTCGTTTGATGTTGTGATATGTTGATATTGAAGACTGCACATTGTACTTGAAATACGTATGTGGTTCGTTATGGATACCAGCATGAATTAAGTGAAATTAAATGAAAGATAACCCTTTTTGCCGTTTTATCTAGGCGTTCCGCTAACAACCCGATTTCATTACTTCATTACTTCATCAAAAGTTTCTTGAAACTTCGGTCAGATTTCCCTTAGTATTTTCATTATAATTTCTATGGAATTTTACTCAGAATTTAATTTCAATTCTGTATAGCGTACGTCTGAAATTCTCCTCCGAATTCATCACAATATTTTTAGAATAAATTTGGTGTTCTTCACGGATCACAGTGGGGCCGTTCTGAAAAAAAGACGGTTAAAATCCTTGTCTCACATTTTTTGACGATTTAGAGGTTAAGTGTCTTAAAATATGACGTTAAAAATGTTACTCCGCATCTTTTAAAAAGAGATCAGAATCTTGATTCAGCTAGTATTACACAACCAAATTCCAACATTCTAAATTTTTGAGATAACGGGTTCGTTCTTCAACAAAAATGTAGAACTATTAATTTTAATAAATATTACTCCAGTCACCTAGTCTCCACATCTTAACCCTAAAGAAATACAATTGTTTTCTTCTAGAACTACCTTAAAACATTTTTTTAAGTTAGTTAGTATGTTCTACAAAGTTAATTATTTATTTGGGAATAATGAAAAATGTTGAGTAAATGGGGTCCCAATTTCAATTGTTGGTATGCCTATACACCTATTTCTTTAAACGTTTTTTTTTCACACGGTTGGCGCCACTGAGTCGTAATTTACCGTCTATGTAATAAAGATGGCTCACAGTGGTAAAAAATCCACGAAATCATATGTTCGATTAAATTTTCGGGCATGTAGCCAAAATCGAACGGGTACTGTAGTTAAAATAAAATCAATGCTATAATTACGACTGGCATCAATTTTGTTTTATATTTTAGCATGCGAAAAATCAAAATCTTGGTTGGTTTTTTTGACGTCTGTGATTTCTATATGGGGGTACACTTTGTGAAAACCGAAAATGGAACCAATCGATCAGAAATATATCTACTGATCCAACTGATGATTTTCAAGAAGAAACTATTGAAAAAGTGGTAATGTCAACCGTTGTCCAATGTACAAATAGAAAGCGAATATTTCATTCTAGTTGCACTTGCCACCAAAGAAAGCCTGGTACGCAAGCGTACTACTGCTCCTGCATCGGAGGGCCCTAGAAAGAAGGCCCAAACGGATGCCAGCGCTGCTTCACATGACGCAGCAAATCGGCTGCTACAGAGCAACCAATTCACGGTGCTCGGAGTAGAATATGGCGGTGGTGACGCCGCTGAAATTGTCAAAAAAGAGCGGATTCCCCCGCTGTTTACCCCGATGAAGGACATCGCACAGTTTAGGGATTAGCTGGCAAAACGCAAATTGTTCCCGCGATTCAAGATCTGTAGCGTTGGAACAAAGAGCCTACAGCAGTACAAGTCGGTCGGTGACCTGCATAGAACAGCACAGTGGAGTCTTTCACCCAGAATTTCCCTTCGATGAAACCATTGAAGGTTGTTTTACGGGGACTGCCGTAAAAGATGAACTGGTGAGGCTCAGATTAAAACCAGAGGCAGTCCACCCTATCGGCCTATGCCCAATGCCAACTATAGTGACCAACTGTTTCTGGTCCACTTCATGAATGGCTCCACCACCCTTGCTGCGCTGAAGAGCAACATACGTGACCTGTTTTAGGTCATTATCGACTGGGAATTCTACCAACCGCAACGCCGAGATGTGACCCAATGCACAAGTTGCCTCTCCTTCGGCCATGGCACGAAGAACTGTCATATGAGACCCCGCTACGACAAGTGTACTATGGCCCACTCGACAGCGACCTGTGTTAAAGCTGAGCTGAGACACCGAGCTAAAGTGCGTGAATTGTGGCGGTACTCACCGTGCCACTACTCGGGACTGTCCCAAGCGAACAGAATTCATCAACATCAGGAAGAAGGTGGCAACTAGCAACCAGCCAGGCCGAGATCGAAACAAACGTACACCACCAGCCATTACGGATGAAAAATACAATCAACGAGGCGCTCCTTCAGCTTAGCATCGCCTCAATGCCGCAGTGGCCCTGCCAGATCATGTTTCTACCTCGGCGCCTGGACTAACGTATGCCCGTGTTGCCTCAAGCGATTCATTTGACGAATCTCCTTTCACATCGGAAGAACTAGTAACGGTGGTTTCAGAGGTGACCGTCATCCTGCGAACCCGCAAGACTTGATCTGAACAGCTTCATGCTGCCTTTTCACTCGTCACCAAGTATGGACCGTGAAACTTTAATAATTGCAAATTGAAACGCTTGCTGGCTGACGAACAAGCTTAGAGAGCTACTCGATTTCCTCAACACCAAGGAGGTCGAAATTGCTATTATCACCGAGACGCACTTGAAGCCCGAACTGAACGTATTCCTTCCCGCTTCCGGCTCGTCCGACTTGACCGCACCTGCTCCAGGGGTGGGGAGTGGCCATCGCTGCAAGACGGAACATCAGTTGCCGGCTGCTACCAAACTACCAGCTGAAAACAATTGAAGCCATCGGAGTGGAGGTGAGCACATCACTTGGCCCAATCACCAGCATCGCGGCCTACTGCCCCAAGCAAACCAACATCAGGGACGGGTCGTCAGTGGCCCTCCGAAAAGACATCATCAAACTCACCCGGAGGAGCGGGAACTTCATCATCGCTGGCGCCTAAACGCAAAACACCAAGTTCGGGACAACAGTCGCCTAAACGCAAAACACCAAGTTCGGGACAACAGTCGGAGCAATCGAAACGGCACCATCCTGAATGAAGACCTGCAAGAGGGCCACTATACCATCTTGGCCCCGGATACTCCCATCCGGTTGAGTCGGTCTGGGATCCATGCGACCATCGACATCTTCATAAGCAACATGGGACACAACATCTCGCAGCCTGTGGCATTCCAGAAAATGAGCTCGAACCACTACCCGGTGGTGGCCGAAGTAGGCTTCTTAACTAACAGATTTCAAGCATCCCGGCGAAACTACCATCGTGTTGAATGGGATCGGTTCCAGCACTGTGTCGACACCGCCGTCGACTACGAAGTACATCCTGACGCTCACGAAGACGTTGACCGATGCCTGCGTTCCTTGGAGGAGGCGATATTCCGAGCCAGGGAACAACGCATGCCAGTATCCAGACAGGTGAGCAATACTCTGGACCTTGATAGTCCCACTAAAAACTTTATCAGACTCCGTAACACCATGCGTAGGCAGTACCAACGTACTGGATTGCCTGCCTTGAAGACCCATTGCAACCGTCTAGCAAAAATAATCCAAGCCAGGATGATGGACCTCAGAAATGAGGACTTTAGTAACAAAATGAGCTCTCTCACGGATTGTGCTAAGCCCTTTTGGAAGCTAACCAAAATCCTTAAAAATAAGCCAAGACGCATTCCCCCACTTGTGCCGTTGAATCAACCCAATGATTCAATTGCTCATCTGATAACCCCTGTAGATAAGGCTGATGCTATAGGTCAACATTTCGTCAGCTCGCATAATCTCGGACTGAACATGCCTAGTCCATACGATACTGCAGTTATGCAACCAACCTCCATCGAATTCCTAACAAGTGTCCTGTAGAATCCGAGATTACGGCTGACGAACTGTTGGCCTATACCCAATCATCTAAAAATATGAAGGCCCCAGGTTTCGACCAAATCCTGAATCTGCAACTCAAGTACCTGAGTTCCAGATGCTTCAACCATCTGGCACTGATTTTTAATCAGTGCCTAAGACTTGGCTACTTTCCCTCATGCTCTTCTTCAAGTTACCGACCCATCAGCCTTCTCTCGAGGTTATCCAAGCTGTTCGAAAGAGCAGTCTACCATCGACTTCTGGCATCTGCCGAGGAAAACAACATATTGCTCGAGGGGCAGTTTGGCTTCCGTAAAGGTCGCTCGACTGTTCACCAGCTCACTCGAGTAACAAACATTCTCAGAAGGAACAAGTCTGTATCTAAAACATCTGCCATGGCATTGTTGAACGTTGAAAATGCGTTAGACAATGTTTGGCATGATGGCCTGGTCTACAAGTTGCATCTACGATCATACAAAATTATCTATCGGACAGGACGTTCCAGGTCTCTCTGAATGGCATCACATCGGATGACTTCATCATCGGTGCAGGTGTGCCCCAAGGAAGTATCCTTGGGCCCATCCTGTTCAATCTATTCACCTCCGATATTCCGGCTCTCCCTGATGGTGGATCGTTGTCTCTGTTCGCAGACGACACATCCATCGTCTACAAGGGTAGGGTCATCGAAGCTCTGACAACCAAACTCCAGAGAGGCTTGGATGTCCTATCTGAGCATTTCAACAACTGGAAGATCCAGGGGGCCTCCCTTAGCTCAGTCGGTAAAGGCACAGCTACAAAGCAAGACCATGCTGGAGGTGACTGGGTTCAATTCCCGGTCCGGTCTAGGAATTTTTCGGGTTGGAAAATTTCTCGACTTACCTTGGCATAGAAGTATGATTGGACTTGCC